GGTGCAACATGTAGTCATCATGCTGTAAAAAAAAGGTTCGATTCTGTTAATTGCTGTAAAAAAAAAAAGTTCATTATCATAATCATCCTGATGTATACAAGATAAGATGCAACATATAAAAGCAACTATGAATAGGAAGTTTAACTAACCTCAGGAAGGAACTAACGACGAAGCAGTGTGAATAAGATCTGAACAAGTCGAAATAATTTTGCCAAACCTGAACAACAAGATGAAATAATGCTGTGAACAAACCCCAACAACGAGACGAGACGGCATGAATAAAAAAAAAGCCTGAACCAAGTCGTAATCAACTTGAACAAGACGAAATGGTGTGAATAAAAAAAAAAACCTGGACCAAGACAAAATAAGTTGTGACCAATCTAAATGAGATGAAAAATAGCTGTGATCAAACCTGAATGGTCACTGAAAGGCTATTAGAACTTTAATATTGCAATTAATAACTGGCTACAAAAAAAAAAAAAAAAAAAAGAATATAGCAAAGAGAAAAAAATATGCCAGACTTCATAAATACAACCATAAAAGAAAAAAAATAGCCCAGCAAAAGTGAGGGAAAAGGTATATTTTAGAAGAAGAAATTCAGGAGGATTTTGAACAAGATTTGGAGGAAGATAATGGTCAGGAAGAAGATAAGAGGACAGATGAAGAAGAAAAGATATATATACGTCTACTTGCCACACCTCTTATATGGAAAAATAAACTGAAATAAGGACAGTTAAAGGTATACCGAAATCAACTTATTATCGTAAATTCGGCACTTCTGGTATTCTTGCCAATGCTGCCAAAGAAACTTCTAAAATCATTAGCTTTTTCAGGTCTCCAACATAGGCATCATCAATATATTCAGTGTCTTTGGCATCTTCAGTAACCCCAATGTATTCAGCATCTTTGTCTTCAGTAACTCCAATATATCCAACTGTGACCAGATTTGATAACAATGAGGATATAAGTGAGGATAGCGATGATGGTAGTGGTAGAAATAGTAGTGAAGATGCATCTGTTGCCCTTGGAGATATAATTGCTTAGCTTCAGGAAGACCTCCTGAATAATGAAAAAACATTCACAGCTTTCGAATATAATGAATGGCAAGTTGTATATGAATATTTTGTACAGCTATATGATAGTCACGGAAAAATGAAAGCGAGTAAAATCGTGTTAAGCATAGTTTATGTTTCCCCAAACCCATATAAATACAAGAGAATTCACTTTCTTGGTAAATTTTATTTGCGTTATGAATGTTTTCCAGTCTTCCATCATGGTTAACATCAAAAATGCAAAAGATTGATTAATGATGAAGACATGGCATTAAAATGTAATCAATAGATAAGAGAACATTCAGGAATCAATGGCATTAACCAATCCTAATTCAAACAATATATCGACTGTACTATTTTACCTGAGCATGTAGGAGGGGTTAGAAAATCAGTTAGCTTAAGAACAGCTAAAAGATGGTTAAATATTTTAGGATGCAGATTTGAAAAATACAAAAAGAGTATATACTTTGATGGACACGAGAGAGAGGACGTTGTTGAATATCGGAAGAGGTTTTTGGAGGAAATGAGAACTTTAGAAAGAAGGATGGCGAGGTATAAAGAAAGTATTATGGAGCTGATTCTACCTGTACTTGGAGTAGGCGAGCGAAAGCTGATTCTTGTCACTCATGATAAGTGTAGTTTCTGTGCAAATGATGGAAAAAGAGAAATTTGGGTGCATGATGAGAAAATGCCATTGCGTAAGAAAGGAAATGGAAAGTCAATTATGGTGAGCGAATTTCTTTTAGAAGTGTGTGGAAGGTTACAATTAAGTGAAGAAGAAAAAAAAAAATCCTAATATTCTCGCAGAAGCACACTGTTACTTTACACCTGGTAAAAATCAAGAAAATTATTAGATAGTCAAACATTTGTTAAAACAAATTAAAAAGAAGGCAATACCCATTTTTGAAGCAAAATTCCCTAATGCAATGGCTGTTTTTGCCTTTGATAATAGTACGAATCATTTAGCATTTGCAGATGATGCCCTTGTGATGCAAAGAATGAACAAAGGCCCTGGAGAAAAGCAAAGTGTAATGCGACCGACAACTTTTATTAATAGCAATGGACAATTAATAGAACAAGAAATGGTATTTGAGAAGAATTACTCCGACCCTGATCTGAGAGGAAAACCCAAAGGAATAAAAAGAGTGTTAGAAGAAAGAAGCCTATAGAAAGAAGGGTTAAATTTGAAATGTTTAATGTGCAAAAAAAAAGAAAATCCTAGACAAATCGATTGCTGCTTAAGAAGGATTATGGCTTCTCAACTAAATTTTTTGGCTTAAAAGTCTGCTATCGTGGAATTAATCGAAGGTGCCGGCCATATTTGCATTTTTTATCCAAAGTTCCATTGCGAACTTAACTTTATTGAAATGTATTGGGGTGCGGCTAAAAGGTATACAAGGAATCACTGCGACTACACATGGGTTGGCTTGCAAAATACTGTTTCACAAGCACTTGATTCAGTAGATATCGTTATGATTAGAAAATTTGCCAGAAAATCGTGAAGATATATGGAGTTATACCATAAGGGACTGACAGGAAAATTAGCAGAATGAGCATGCAAAAATTTTAAATCATATAGGCGAATTTCTCAAAAAGAATTAACATTATTTTTACAGAAAAATGGTGGCAATAACATTTAAATATACTAAGGTATATATATATTTTTTTTAAGGCACTACGCTAATTTATTTATTTATTTTTATTTTATTTTATTTTTTTTTTTGAAGTTTTTTAAAATAAAAATTAATGCAATTGATTATTAGTAAAACGGCATTTGATGTAATTCTACATGTGACATTCAGAAACAGCATAAGGGTAGACAAATAGAAATAAGAATGCTGATTGATTGCAGTAAAGAATTTCAATTTAAGGTTACAAAATATGAAAATGTAATTGTGTAGATTCTTTTGATTAGATTAGATATCAAAAGATTGGTTGGGTTTAATGTCTTCATAATATGTGATTAATTTAATATGAATAAATAGCATTAATTAACCCATGATTAAAAAAAAAATTTGTTTTAAAAAAAAAAAAATTTTTTTCTAAGCCGGAATTTCTTTGTAAGCCAAATTAATTATTTATGGCCCAAATCATGCAATAGGTTTTATTTGTACAGCTACTCTAGAAAGATTGACAAATATGCATCCATTAGGTATCTTTGAATAATCAAAACAATAGTATAATATTTTATCTCAGGATAAGGATAGAGATTACAATAAGACATATTTTATACAAATTTTTTTGTTAATGCAGAGGTAATTTCATAGTCAAAATTTCAAGTTATTAACTGTTTTTTGGTATCGATCAGTGATGTAAATTGGACCAGCACAGTAGGTGCAGCTACATGGATTTAAATTTTGCACATTAAAATGATTAGTGCTCTATAATATGTAGAGCGCATATAATTTTTTTCTGCCTATTTTTAAATTTGCTTAGGTGAAAAATGCGCACATGATTCTAGAGTTTGCGCACATGCTATTGAATATAATATGTGTTTCATTGAATTTATAACACTGGTATCGATCCCTGAATAGTGTACCTGCATGTAGTATAGTTCGAATCTGGTTTTATTTTTTTCTCATTCTAATGCTAAAACCGATTAACCAAATACTGATTTGTAATTTAATTTGTGGACTACACTGATTATCATGTGACCAATTCGTTGAATATGTGTAAATGCATTTTTTGTGCGATTCTTTTATATTTGAATGTTAATGTGAAAATGGGACAAGTCACGTGATTTCTGCCTTTAGGTGTCCAGATCTATAGAATATTAAAAAATGAAGCTGCAGCAAGAAAACCAAAAACTAATACTAGAAAAATGCAAAGACTTTGCACTTAATCAGGTGGATACTACTAATATTTGTGTAAAAAAAATTAAAAAACAAAAAAATTCAGAGATCTATTTCTAAATATGTTAGCAGAAAAGAAACATGACAACTAGAAATAGATACAAACATGATAAAACTTATTTCATAAAATAAGAAAATAAAAGTCACAGAAATAGAAAGACATATGAATAAAGTTAAAATAGAAAACAGTGAAATAAATCTAATAAGAAAACAAAAAATTTGCAATAAGCTCATTGAAATGCTAATTGAAAAAAATTTGCATAATCAAGAAAATAAGCAAAAAGAACTAATTTTTTATACTGATGAATCACTGATAAAAACAAAAAAAGTATGCAAAATAGAAATAGTATAGGAGCAGGTTAGCTGCAAATAGATAGTAAAGAAGAATATATTATTAATGAAGGAGCTATCAGAGCAAGAGGATGGTCTTTCTTGACCAAAGCAGAGCTACTAGCAATCTGATATATAATGCTTATAGTACTAAGTAGAAAGAAAGTCAAAATATATATAGATAGTACAGCAGCTATAGCAAATATAGAAAGTAGTATACATTATATAACTAATAGACAAAAAATAAAAAGAAAAAATTACAATTTGTTAGAAAGTATAGAAGAATTAAAAGAGTAAAGAAAATAGATTAGAATTAATAAAAATAAAAGAACATAATAGTAATAGATAGAATAATAGAGCAGATAGCTTAGCTAAGCAAGAAGCAAACTCACAAAATTTAAAGACTATTATAGATAGTTCAGTCTCAAGATCAAATGTATTGCTTTGTTGAAAAAATAGAATAGTAGAAAGTTCAATAAGAGATTTTATCAAAGAGGTTTTTAATATCAAAAATAATGCAGATTGAAGCTGTTCAATAGTATTTAAAAAGCTAAAACCAGAATTTAATACCAGTGAACACTGTTGGGCTTTATTATAAAAACAAATTAAGAACCAAAGTGAAATACAATATATCTTAGCTTAAGGAAGCAAAAGACTAAGTACACTTCTTAAGTGTATACAAAAAAATATGCCAACACTTAAAGAACTTAAAATGTAATGACCAGATCTATATACTAGCCCAAATTGTATATCCTGTAAAGAAGACAAGGAAGAGGACCAAGATCATTTAGCAGAATGCTTGATCTACAAAGACTTGTAAACAAAGACAGAAGCTTTGGCAATAGAGATAGCATGGACTACACTATTAGAAGATACAAAAAAGAATACTACCAAGACTATTTTAAAAGAAAAAATGTAGAGTCAAACAAAAAAAAAAAAAGTAAAAATAAGAATGAAAATAATAAAAGATCTCATTCAAGAAAAAATAGCAAAAAGGATACAAGACTGTTTAGTCTTAGTACAAAAAACCAAAAAGCTTTATAGTAAGTATTACAAATACAATTTGGAATGAGCTTTGTAAAACAGTTTAGAGAGAAAGATGTTGCAAGATAGCTGAATAAAAAAAAAGTCAAAGCATCAACACAAAATTAAAAAACAAAAAACAAAAAGAAATAGATAATAAACAAGCTACAGTATCATACAAAGCATTATCAGAATTAAAAGATAAAAAACTTAAAAAGAAAAAGAAAAAAAAAGATATGGAAAAAAATGAGATAGAAAGTGTATAGAAAAAGGCAATAAGAAGGTTAATTAGTAATAATAAGAGTCTTTACTAAAATAGTCTTAAAGGCTAGCCTAAATAGCCCTTTAGCAGCAAGTTTAATCTTGCACTAGTGCAACAGGCCACCTCTGAGCACTTATTTATAATAGCCAGAGAATGTCAAATCTGTAAATTAAGCTAATATTTGTATAGCTATATATGCAATTCTCTTAATAAAAGAGATTGGCAAGACTGCCAAAGTTGAAAAAAAATAACAATTAAAAGTAAAATATATAATGCTAAATTATTAACAATTGTTAACTTGTATAATATATTTAAATATTATCTAAGAATAAAATACAAAAAGTATGATAACTTAGTAAAATAGATAAGTTAATTAATTAAGATAAAATATTTGTAATTATAATTATACCAGTATAACTAACTAGTTATAAGGCATTTGTATAATCTTGATTATATATAGAAATGCAGACCAATATCAGATAATGCAAATCTAAGATAAGTTTTTGTGATTGTATAAATTTGTAAAACTAGAAAAAACTAGAGCTACTCAAAAGATTTGAATAAAAAAATAATAAAGATTTTTAATAATATTATTATAAAAGCTAGATCTAAAAAATAGATACTAATATAAAAAAATCAAATAGGCAAGAATCTTTAAATAAGAAATACTATTAATTAATCTACTAAATCAAATTAGAAAAAAAGAATATAAAACATATTCTCTCTACTAATCACTTATACAAAAGTTGTAGAAAAGCAATTTAAAAGTTTGCCAAAAAATAACAGTCTAAACCAACTTTACAGGTCTAAAAAAAATGATAGAGCTAATAAAGAAGATATAACAAGAACAAGAAAGAAAAAACTTGGATAGTCTGCTAAGAAGATAAAACAGAAAACATCTTAGTTAATACTAGAAAAAACAGAATTTAGTGAATTTGCTATAACTTGAAAGTGCAGATCTGTAGATCACTGCAACATATGAACAAAAAAACAAAACAAACATGTAGATTAGTTGATGTGCAAATAAGCCTGATATAGATAGTAATAAATATAAGCATAGAAGGTTTCAGAACAACAAGTAGCAAACTAAAATCATTAGTACTTAGACTAAAATAAGTAGTACACCAAACTGAAAGGAAAGTCTAATGTCAATCTATATTAAGAGAGCATATTAGATAGCAAACAGTATACACAACAAGGTGTTCTTTAACCAAGCAAGCAAAATATATGCAACACCAGACAGAGAAGATGAAATTATTATTATGCTAATGAAACAAGACCCAATAGAAGTTGCTTTGTTACGTATAACTAGAAAAATAATCAAGAAAGCAGAAGAAGAGCAACCAGAAAAGAAGATTAACATCAACAAGCAAAGTAAAAATGCTACAATAGAAGAACTAGCAATAGTGCAGACACAGGACAAAGGAAAAAAAATATAGCAACAGTTAAATGAAGCAAACAGAAGTCATAAAGAATCATACAAAATAATGCAAGAAAAGAAGACAGAAAACAAAAAAGCAGCTGAAAAGAAAGCATAAGATAATAGTAAAAGCTTACAAAAGAAAGTAAGTACAAAGGTAAGTTTAATAAATAAAGACCAAGTAGAAGAGAATTTATCTGTCTAAGGAAGAAATGCAGAAGAACAAGAAGGAAAGCAAGAACAAGAAGGCATCAGAAAGAAAATCGAAAGAAAAATTGATAT